ATTGGGAAAGAAGTACAACAAGGCTGCATATTGTCTCCCTGCTTATTTAACACAAGCCAGAATTAATATTGCCGGGAATCTCAACAACCTCAGATATGCAGATGATACCACTCTGATGGCAGAAAGTGAGGAGGAATTAAAGAAATTCGTAGTGAGGGTGAAAGAGGAGAGCACAAAAAATGGTATGAAGCTCAACTTCAAAAAAACTAAAATCATGGCCGCTGGTCCCATCACCTCCTGGCAAATAGAAGGGGAAGATATGGAGGCAGTGACAGATTTTACTTTCTTGGGCTCCATGATCACTGCAGATGGTGACAGCTGCCACGAAATTAAATATCCCTGATTTTTGGGAGGAAAGCGATGCCAAACCTAGACAGCATCTTAAAAAGCAGAGACATCACCTTGCCGACAAAGGTCAGCATAGTCAAAGCTATGGTTTTTCCAGTAGCAGTGTATGGAAGTGAGAGCTGGACCATAAAGAAGGCTGACCACCAAAGAACTGATGCTTTTGAATTGTGGTGCTGGAGAAGACTCTTGAGAGTCCCCTGGACTGCAAGGAGAACAAACCTATCCATTTTGAAGGAAAACAACCCTGAGTGCTCACTGGAAGGACAGATCCTGAAGCTGAGGCTCCAATCCTTTGGCTATCTCACGAGAAGAGAAGACTACCTGGAAAAGACCCTGATGTTTGGAAAGTGTGAAGGCAAGAGGAGCAGGAGACGTCAGAGGACGAGATGGTTGGACAGTGTCATCAAAGCTACCAACATGAATATGACCAAACTCCAGGAGGCAGTGGAAGACAGGAAGGCCTGGAGTGCTCTGGTCCATGGGGTCACAAAGAGTCGGACAGAACTTAACGACTAACCTATTTGGGGTAACAAATGTCCCCTTTTAAAAGGTTATAGTCTGAATCCTTAAGCAGTGTGCACACACGCACACACGAAAGCAATGTCTCCAAACTCCAAGCTTAACTCTCTTGAGTGTTATTGAAGGTCACACAAACTGTCTCTTCTGGCCTTTTAAAAACATACACAATCTATATCTGTTACGTTTTAAGTTCCTAAAGCCAAGTAACTTTAAGTTTGAACATTCTCCATAACTATAACACTCTTTCAGTTCCAACATCATGCTCCAGCATGTCTAAGACCTCACACTTACTCTGAAAGCACAAATTATTGTGTTTTCATCTGTCCCCATCAAATCCAAACACAGTTTTCCAGAACCTGATGCACTTCAGATGTTACATTTCCCACCCTGCCACTCAGCATACCAATCTGTGGCTCTCTGTCACATGTAAGCAATGACTGGATGGCTGAAATGTATGAGAATTCGTACACTAAGGTATAAAAAAACAACACAACTGGTATTCTCCCTTGTGTGTACCTGCAGTTAAAATAAAAATTCACTTGGTCATGGTAAAAATGTTAAGAACATTCAATGTATAACATATATGTAGAATAAACTAACAGGGCTTGAAATATTTGGCTTGGTACAGACTAAACATGGGGATGAATTTAAAAGGTATAAAAAAACAACACAACTGGTATTCTCCCTTGTGTGTACCTGCAGTTAAAATAAAAATTCACTTGGTCATGGTAAAAATGTTAAGAACATTCAATGTATAACATTTATGTAGAATAAACGAACAGGGCTTGAAATACTTGGCTTGGTACAAACTAAACATGGGGATGAATTAAAAAAACAAATAACAATATTAATCAGAACTTGAGGATTCATGTAATATTTGTCACTTTGTATTTATCAATTCTGGAGGCCCTGAAGAATATGAAGCGACAAATATTTATCCTTTTTATTCATCCTTTTGTTGAGCCTGGGCTCAAAGAGCAAGTTAGGCTTCTGGAATGGGTGTTCCGGCAGCCTAGTAGGTGCCCTCTGCCTATGGGCCCACCAAACACTGGTTTAGAGGGCTCTCTCTCTCTCTGTCTCTCTCTCTCTCTCTCTCTCTGCCCCCTTTCCACTGCCCTCCGTTGCCTCCCTACCTTGTCCTGTCATCATCCCCAGTGCTGTCACTGCCACAACCAGAACAGAAGCTAGGCTGCCAGAAAGGAAAGCACTATTTCAGCATGCTACGGTGCCAATCAGCTGACTGATGCCTGTGGAGCCAAGGACAGTCTGCCGGCATGGCTCTAGCGAGGTGTGGAGCCAAGGACAGTCTGCCGGCATGGTTCTGCCGAACTAGCGAGGCCATAGGCAGAGAGAGAGAGCAGGCTAGCTGGCAGGAACTGTGTGGGCAGGTTAGCCTGATCTCTCTGCCTCTGCAGGCACCGACTAGCTGATCAGTGCCTATGGAGGCAGAGACAGACAGACAGCACAGTTCTGCCCAACTAGCCTTTTCTCTCTCTTATATGGACCACTACCACTGCTGCCAGCAGGACAGGTAAGGAGGCAAAGAGGAGTAGTGAGAAAGGGGTGAGGTGCGGGCTGTTCAGATTTTTTTCTTAAGACAGCCGCAGACTGTCTAAAAAACCCTGACAAACCAATTCATGATTCACCAGAAATCCCTGGGGAAATTCATGGGTCATGGCTCATCAACCTTGACAATCAACAAACCACAACAAACAGTCATTTTGGCGGGTCATCCCTATCTCTAATACAGACTTCTGTTTAACAGACTTAATATAATTTCATAGTATCTTCCTAACAGACATTGTGACAGACAAGCAGATTCCTAAAAGATAGCACCTAACAGACTACAGTGGTGCCTCGACTTATGACCATAATCCGTTCTGGAATGATGGTCATAACTCAAAATGGTTGTAAGTTAGAACACTATTTCCCATAGGAATGCATTGAAATGCAATTAATCCGTTCCGGCCAAAGAAAAAAATCACTAAGACTCATTGGAAATGCGATTAAGCCCTTCCGGCCAAAGGGGGGAGGGAGAAAAGCAAGGGAAGCATGCAGGACCCATTGCAAAAGCACAGAAAACAAATGGAGCAGATTGGAAATGCACAGAGAATAAAGGGACAAGGTTGGAAATGCCCAGGAAGCAAAGGAAAAAGCAAGGGAAGCAAAACATATCGAAAATGGGGGGGAACCCCCAAAAGCAACCAAACTCCCCAAGACCCATGGGAAATGAGGGAAACCCAAAAAACAACCAAACCCCCCAAGACCCATCAAAAATGGAAAAGAACTCTCCAAAAAGCAACCAACCCCCCGTCAGAAATGGGAGGGAAACAAACAAATAAACAAACCCGCCAAGACCCATCACAGCACAGAAACATAAAAACCCCCCCCAGCTGAAAACCTCGCTGCAAAAATACCAAGGACAGTTTTTTAAAAGCATAAAGCAGCACCATACCTTACCAGGCAGCCTCCTTGGATCGCACATTCTCTAACTGCCAGGGCGAAAGAGCTACAAAGAAGCAGCCTCTTTCACCACCTACAGTTAGCAATTTTAATTTCCTGCCTATTTTCCCTGCCTTTTCTGTTCGTAAGTGGAAGCTCCGGTCACAAGTAGAAGCAAAATTTTGTAACCAGAGCTGTTCGTAAATCCAATTGGTCATAAGTAGGGATGGTCGTAAGTCAAGCTACCACTCTACTGTATTTCCCCGAAAATAAGACAGGGTCTTATATTAATTTTTGCTCCAAAAACGCATTAGGGCTTATTTTCAGGGGATGCTTTATTTTACAGTCATGTCATCTTCTTCTGGTTGCTGCACAATGTGGCACAATGGTGGATGGCGGGGTTTCACTGGTGGGAAGGTAACAGCGTTCCGTGTCTAAGCTGCACTGGCCATGTGACCACGGAAGATTGTCTTCGGACAAAACGCTGGCTCTATGGCTTGGAAACGGGGATGAGCACCGCCCCCTAGAGTCGAACACGACTGGACAAAAATTGTCAAGGGGAACCTTTACCTTTACCTTATTTTCAGAGAGACAGGGTACTTCTTTGACAGACAACTCTAACAGAGAACGAACTAAATAATCACTATCTCATCTTTCATTTATCTAGCAGTTAATTTCTATCTAGCAGTTAGCCCTCCCAAAACCCACTGGCTAACACCAGACAGAATTTGATTGGTTACAAAAGTTCTAATATGTAAATTACACAACTCAATCATTCTTATATTACCATACATACACATACATACTGGGTTGCATACATATATTCCAACATGGACTTCAGGTCCCTGAGCTAAAACTAGCCACACTCCAATCTTGGATTCCCAGATGTTGTTGGATTTCAACTCCCAGAATTCCCGGTCAATACAGCTAATGGTGAAGGCTTCTGGGAATTTTAGTCCAGGATCATCTGGAGATCCAAGGCTGGGAACCCTTGCTTCAATGGATGGGAGAAGTACTGTACTATTTTATCCCTGTCTCCCAGGGCACAGCATGTCTTTCTGTTGTTTCATATTGTTCCACATCAGCTGCACTTGAACAATGTTTGAAAATCCACCCCACCCCATCCCGGCATGCCATTAAATAGTTGAGTTCTAGCATATTAGGGACTTGCCAACAAACTTTATAAACTTTTCATTCATCTTTAAACACAATCTCTTCTGAGGCAATAATTTTCATTTTATATTCCACATTTTCTTTTAAAGTTAGCACTGAAAATATGAGTGGAGCACATCACACTTCAAAGTCTTCTGTAGCCTTTTGTCTTTTAAATTAGATTTAAGATAAGCTTCAAGCTCTTCAGACAGATTCAGGTAATAATAATTAACTGCCAACATTAAAATGGCCTTTCTAAGTCAACCCTGACAGTTTTTATGGCGTAAAGTTCATTAAAATCACAAGTCTATTTGCATTTCCACATTTTTGCCGGGCATGTGACTTGGAACCCTTTTATGTGGCTGATCCCTGTATCAACTTTCATCTACACCTCTTGTCATCCCATCCAATGCCCCACAAATTGACCCCCTTTAAAAAAACTTTGGTAGGTAGCAAGTACAACAACCAATAATAGTTAAGATGATAACTGTAATACAGTTCACCAGATAGATGCAAATTTAATTGTGTGGCCTACTCACAAAGATTGCTCAGATCTGTATGTTAATGAAGACCCTCGGACGAATGGATTGATTGCATTTAGGTCCTGCTTTTCTCTGGAACAATGGTGCTCAAGGTGGCTAGCAGTGATTAAATGAACAAGCATGGCTAAAATATAAACCAGACAAAAACACAATTAAAGAGATATCAATAAAAGAATGATGTTAATCTTGGATCTTGCCAGTATCCTTTTGATGTTGTTGTTGTTGTTGTTGTTATACAACAAAAGATAGAATGTTCCTGGGAAAATTACTTTTTTAAACTACCATGCCCAGAATTCTTCACTGGAGGCCAAGCCAACTTCTCACTATCAACAGTGATAAGAGGATGCCCTGATAAACTGACACTTTTTTGAAATACTGGGCTTCCAGAAACGAATAGGCACTTTGAGACCTTCTCTTCTGTTCCTTGTACTTTCTGCTTTTCCCTTTTGGTGGATGTATCATCCTTCAACAAAGTAACTTTGTCCACTCTGTCCAAGCAACATTTTGTTTAACAGAAAAACACCTCCAATTTTCAGCAGAGCACAAGCAGAAGAAAAATGAGCATAACCTCTTCCGGAAGAGAGTACCAAGTACAAGAGAAGTTTGTTATATCGCAACCTACATATGGTAGGGGCTAGGAGGGATCTTTTCTGGATTGGAGTTTTTGTCAGTCAACTCAGCAGCAGCCAACAGTTCTCTTTTTACCTCAGATTCTTTTTCCCACCTTTTATTCAGTCAAGAGTTCTGTCAGCAGTTGTAACAATGGACTCTGTCAGAAGTGAACAATTAGAGTGAAGTGTTCTGACAGCAATGTAACTGGTCAGTTAGTAACGAAGCTAGTTAACCAGTTAAGCTCAGTGATATATATATATCACAATATATTTGTTTGAAGAATGAATGAAGACTTGTAAGTAAATTGTAACATTTTATTCTTTCCCATTATCATAGTCTCTAAGTGAATATATTGATAGAGTTAGTGGCAGTTGAAGTAAAGGAACAAGAGGTTGTCTATTGAGGGAGGCCTCCAGTTCTGCTGGAAATAACCAAGAAATGAAGGCACAGCCTCTGAGTGTATTGAGAGTCATGTTATGCTAAGTTTCTTTTATACTCATGGCAAGTACAAAAATTTGATTTTAGTGTAACAAAAGCAGAAACAGCACTCTATGGGAGAAATTCCCAGAAGGGAGACAAGTGTGTTCTTACCTTGGATGTTCATGACTGGGGCAAAAATACAAATCAACTGAGAACGCTGTTGCCCTCAGATAAGAATTCCCACACCAACCTGTGTTATAAATAATGATTGGGACTCTAACTTTTTTGTGAGGTAGCTACAACTCTCAAAATTCTTCAGACAGCATTGCTCTGGAAATAATTGTTACATAAAGGGGGAGGGCAAAAAGCCCTAAGTCAAGATACCTTCTATGACACCTGAATATAGCAGGTGGGAATTGTAAAAGCAAGACTTTCACCCACACCCACATCTTGGTTTGCAAACAGACCCTGCAGACCATTTAAAAAACTACAAGTAGAGGACTATGTATATCATCATCAAGTATTTCACTACCTAGTTCTCTTAAGATGAAAGGATACTTACCAATTACATCAGCTCTTTGCTGGATATTCCTTTATACGACACCTTTCCTAATGTTTTTTTCTCCCACGAGCACGTCTCCTTACACACTTCTGCACATAAATTCCACGAAATGTTTGCTCAGTACTTCTAGAAGAGCTTGAAATTATTGCCTCAGGAATAATGTCCTGCTTGTCTAAAGGAAAACATGAAACTACAATTTCAGGTTTAATTATTAATATTATAATGTAAAAGACAAGAATTAATGTTACATTCTAGCATTAATTTCCAAAGGTTGTTCCACGGGCTGCTATGTAATTTTGTAGCAGTTTTCAAAGAATGGTTTTTACTGTCATAAAAAAAAGACAAAGGAGAATGGAGAACTTTATGCGGCAGCAGTTTAAGAACAGGGAACTGCTAAATTCTATAAAATCATATAAACTAGATGGTGAACTTGGAAATGAAAGTCCTTATTACTTGGTAATTACAAGTCCTTATAAAATCACTGTCTTTGAAATTTCCCACCTGGTTCATATGATTTTATTAATTTATTTATTTATTTATTCTATTTATATCCCGCCTATCTGGTCAATTACGATATGATTTTATCTGTTCTTCTTTTTCTAAACATTTGTAAGTCACCTTAAATGTTTCTTTTTAACGTGGAAAGGCAGGACATAAATATAATAAAATAAAATAAACAGATAAAATGGGAAATCTATAGTGGTTACCTCTCGAATTACCTATTTCTAGAACAAAGATGTGACCTTGGGCTTATTCAAGCTTTCAGAAAAGGGACAGCTTGAATATGTGAGAGAGCCGCTCCTTTCATTTTCTGTCATTTATACCCACACGTAGAAAATGACAGAGTAGCCCTGTTCAGGATTCAGAGCTTGTAATGGGAGCTCTGTAAACATCTTTGGCTAAATGCAATTATGGAATCCTCTTTCAATTGTTGCATTCAACATGGAACGATCTGTGATACAGTTAAGTGCATGGGTGTCATATTCAAAGCAGAACTTTGTGCATGCTGAAATCCCCATCATTCATTTAGCCTTCCACACACTGAGGCAAAAGCATGAATAAGACCTTGGGAGGGGGACTCTCTTCTTCATGGTATTTCAGTGCCCTAAAACAGTGGTCTCCAACCTTGGGCCTCCAGATGTTCTTGGACTTCAACTCCCAGAAATCCTAGCCAGCAGAGATGGTGGTGAAGGCTTCTGGGAGTTGTAGTCCAAGAACATCTGGAGGCCCAAGGTTGAGGACCACTGCCCTAAAAGATGGAGAACCTCGCATAACACATAATTCCTTTTCAATAGAGAATGACACAAGAGGAGGAAAGACAAAGCTCTTTTCTGAGTGGTTGTGGTGGGTTTTTGGGGCTCTTTGGCCATGTTCTGAAGGTTGTTCTTCCTAACGTTTCGCCAGTCTCTATGGCTGGTATCTTCAGAGGACAGGAATAGCACTTTTCTGAGTGGCTACACAGAGATTCTGTGGAAGCTTCTGTAACAACTGACACTGCTAAGTTGCCAACTCAGAATGGAAATGACTACAATGGATTCCAGCAAACATGTTTTTCTGCCCCCTATTTGAAAAAAGGAATATGAGGAACAATAAGGCATCCTGGGGATCAGTTTGCATGCAGTCAACAGATAAGGAGCTGAAAAAACGAAGAGGCATATTTTGGTGCATTTAAAAAGTTTAAGGATTGCTGCCTTATTGTGGTGAAGGGGCTTGAGTAATTTGGAGAAGCTATTGGCTATGCCGTGCAGGGACACCCAAGATGGACAGGTCATAGTGGAGATTTCTGACTAAACGCAATCCACCTGGAGTTGGAATTGGCAATGCCACTCCAGTATCTTTGCCAAGAATACCCCATGAACAGGAACAAAAGGCTAAAAGATATGACGCTGGAAGATGGGACCCTCAGGTCAGAAGGCTTCCAACATGATACTGAGGAAGAGCGGAGGACAAGTACAAGTAGCTCCAGAGCTAATGAAGTGGTTGGGCCAAAGCCGAAAGGAAGCTCAGCTGTGGACGTGCCTGGAAGTGAAAGGAAAGTCCGATGCTGCAAAGAAAAATACTGCATAGCAACCTGGAATAAAAGATCTATGAACTTTGGGAAGCTGGATGTGGTCAAAGAGGAGATGGCTAGAATAAACATTGACATCCTGGGTGTCAGTGAACTAAAATGGACAGGAATGGGCGAATTCAATTCAGATGATTACCATATCTACTATTGTGGGCAAGAAGCCTGTAGAAGGAATGGAGTAGCCCTCACAGTCAACAAAAGAGTGGGAAAAGCTGTACAGGGATAT